TCATCTGTCCTGGATTCCCTGTGTTTCCAGTTACAATCTGTACCAGTGTACATCCTATTGTCTAGCCAGATTTGTAAGGTAAAATTGGGATCATGATAGTGGGGGTAGGAAGCATTTAAGAACTAGAGGAAAGTTGTATGTTTCATTGTTGCTACACTGCACCCTGACTGGCTCATCTCCTCCCCGTGACCCTTCTGTAAGGGGATGTCCAGTTGCCTACAGATGGGTCTTGGGGCCCCAATCTGCACTCTCCCCTTATTCACAATGAATTGAATTTTTGTTCTTTGATGCCTGATCCCTGATCCCTTCAACATCTCATGATCACATAGACTGGTGTGCTTCTTCCATGTGTGCTTTGTTGCTTCTGAGCTAGATGGCTGCTTGTTTACCTTCAAGCCTTTAAGACCCCAGAGACCATATCTTTGGATAGCTGGGCACCATCAGCTTTCTTATGCACCCATTGTCTTCAGTGATTGTATTGGGAAGGTGAGCACACAATGACAGGATGTTTTTGTTCTTTGATGCCTGATAACTGATATCTTCGGCAGCTGGTGATCACACAGGCTGGTATGTTTCTTCCATGTGGGCTTTGTTGCTTCTGAACTAGATGGCCTCTTGTTTACCTTCAAGTCTTTAAAACCCTAGATGTTATATCTTCTGATAGCTTGGCTCCATCGGCTTTCTTTGCCACTTGTGCTTATGCACGCGTTTTTGTCTTCAGCAATCGTGTCGGGAAGGTGAGCATCATGGAATGCCAGTTTAATACAACAAAGTATCCTTGCGTTGAGGGAGTACTTGGGTGGAGGCCCAATGTCCATCTGCTACCTTAATACTAAATCTATAAATATATGCACATAGATCTATTTCCTCATCTTCATATATATTTACATATGTACATGACTTTTTTTTAGACCTCGATAAATGCCCTTATCCTCCTAGCTTTTTCTTCTATTTCCTTTTACTTTCCTTTTGTCCCACTATCATATGCTCAGTCTTCATTTGGGTTTCAGTAATTCCTTTTGGTTACAATACCCTTGATCACACCCTACCAGGCCTCCTACACCCTCCTCACCAACAATTTGGATCACTTTAACACCATTTCCTTCCCCCACCTCCCCCTCTCCCATGTCCCCCCCGATGTGTCAGTCCCGTTTTTTCCTCCTCCAGATTGTTCATACAGCCTATCTTATTTAGACAGACCTGTGGAGATAACATGCACAAAAACAAGACTGAGCAAAACCAAGCAACAAAAGAAAATAAAACATCAACAACAACAAAAAACCAATGACAAAAAAACAACAACAACAAAAAAGAAAAGCCTGCAGTTAGTTCAAAGGCAACTGTTTGTTGGCCTTTAGGAATGTTTTCCGGTCGAGTCTGATGGGGTGCCAAGCCGTGGCCCCAAAGTCTATTTTTGGTATTCCCTGGGGACTTTGTACTGCAACCGATTTTTAATTATCTTCAGCAAAATGTTACTTATGTATGATCTTAATGATATTGTTGTATAGTTTCCACATTTTCTCGGGTCACCTTTCCTTGGAAAGGATACAAATTGGTTCTCTTCCAGTTGACTTGCCAGGTAGTTGTCTTCCAAATTTCTCGGCATAGGTGAATGAGTGCTTCCCACACTGCATCCCTTTCAGAAACATGTCCATTGATATTCCGTTAGTCTCCTGGACCTTGTTCTTCACCAGTGCCCTCAATACAGCTTCCTTCACTACCATCAGTTCCTGATTGCACGTGGCTTCTTGAACTGTTTGAACGTTGACTTGTTCTTTTTGTATAGTGTTGTCCACCTTCTTCTGATACTTCCTGAATTGTTTAATATTTCTGCTTATGGAATTCTTCAATGTTGCAAATCAAAGCTTGCATATTTTCTTCAGTTCAGCTAGCTTGAGAAATCTCAAGCTTGTTTCCCCCTGTTGTTGTTTTTAACTCTAGGTCTTTGCGTAGTTTATTATGATACTTTGCTTTGTCTCCTCAAGCCACCCTTGGAAGTCTTTTGTTCAGCTCTTTCCTTCATTCTGTCTTCCACTCCCTTTAGTCACCCTTCATTCAAGAGCAAGTTTCAGAGTCTATTCTGACATTCAATGGAAGTGTGTAGTCCCACTGAATTGTATACAGTAAAGATGGTTAAAATAGTGTGTGTGTATATATATATACACCCTATATATATAGTGTGTGTATACACACACACACACACACACATATATGCACACAATTCTTAAAATAGTACTATATGTGTTTGTATCATGATTTTTAAAATGAAATGCTGAGACTGCTTATATACAACCAAGCTGATCATGGGCTATGGTTCCTTGGTTTGGAAGTTTTGGGTCATGATTTCTTGAGCTGCCCCAGTTACTCGGCCTGATAACATATGTAGTGCTTCTATCTCCTAGCTTGTTGTGTGACGCCTGGAGTCTTAAGAGCTTGCCAGTGGCCATCTAAGATTCATCAATTGGTCTTTATTTGCCTGGAGCTACATGGGAAGAGGGAGAATGGGGACTAGGCAGAGGGTGTGGGATGTGTGGCAGATTGATACACGAACAACTACCCCCTTTGCTATGAGATCAGAAGAACTGGATGGTGCCCCACTATCATTACTGAATATTTTGATCAAATGTTTCCTAGAACAGATTCCACAGAAGTATCCTGATCAAAGGTGGCAAAATGCAGAACAGAATTTCAAATTATTTTGGTCTTTTGAAGTTATTTCCCTGACACAATTTTTTTAAACCTTAAGCCTTTTTAATCTCATGAAGTTTTCTTAAGCCCAAACAATAGTTTAGCTTCATATCGTCTTAAAGGTCAGTCTTGTGCTCCAGGTACTTTAAAGGGTTATCTCCATGGAATCAACAGGACTCTTGGACTCTTAGGGCACAGTGAGTTCATGTTGGTGAGTGAGAAACAGCCCAGAAAGCAGGGTAAGGATGGTTTCACCTTCAAAGAAACAGGCTTTGTGTCACTAAACTCTACAGGTAGAAATTCTTGGATCGGTGTATGTCTTGTTATGTATATTCTCAATAACAATAATTTAAAAACAAAGGTGAAGCCATACAAGGTGAGATGACTCTAGTCAGTGACCTTTATTTAACCCCTGAACAACTCACCGTGAACGCATGATCTCCAGAAACTTTACCTGTAGAGCTTTATACTAAAGATATACTGAAGACTGTGGGTAGCGATATAACTAAAACCAGTTTATGATAATAACAAAAATATTAAAATTCTAGGTTTCACTAATAGGACAGTACTTAATATTGTCATTTGCAGTATAGCTGTTACACAGCCCACAGAGAAAATAGACGGAGTTTATCGGCATAGATATGGTTTTCACAGTGCATGGGGAAAGAGTAGATGGCCCAGGAGTGTCAGATTGCTTGTTACAGATGGTAGGAGCCTAGATTTGTTTTCTGTTTTGTTTTGTTTGAGCTTATTTAGTGTGTTTTTTCAAAGTTTTTTCTAATACTTAATTTTGATATCATGATGCATTACTTTTATCATAATGGAATTGGGGGAGAAGAGTAAGGATTTTGTGCTCATTTGGCCTTGGGCCAGGTGGTATTTGCGTGACAGGGTAATTTCTTCTCAGAGTCTGAATGTGCTCATCGATAAATTGTAATAGGACCCACAGCTCCTACCTTTTGCAAAGAAGTATCAAGCATTTCAGACTTCCGATTAAAAAGTCATTAAGACTCAACTTAGAATCTAGCAGGACATTGCATGTGCGAGGCCTTTGCAGGACCTGGTATAGGACACGTACTAGATTGCTGTGAGGTACAGAAGGGGCAGCATTGGGTTCTGAAGGGGATGGTGGGGAAGAGAGTGGGCCAGGCTTCCTGGAGGGAAAACCTGTGCTGGCTGTGGCACGAGATGAAGAAGGGCCAGGAGTCCTGTGGGAAGAGGAGGCAGAGGGGCAAACACTCCTCCACACCCCCAGGCTGTGTGGAGAATTTAGAGGGGATTGGCATTTCTGGGAAATCTGTGCATAGCACAAATGATTATGTGCTGAAGCGGAAAGGCCTGGCCTTGGAAACCCTGTGAACCCCAGTGGCACCCTGACACAGATGGGGATCCAGTGAGTTGTATCCAAGTCTGTGGCAAGTGGTTTAGCCTGACTGGGGAGTCAAGTCCAGTGTAGCGGGAGGCTGGTTTGGAAGGTCAATCTCTCAGAGTTCTACTGACGAGCGTAGGGAATTGAATAGTTCTAAAGTAAGTTCTGGTTTGGACGCCCTTGGCACACTGAAGTGGACATGACCACCAGGCAGCTGGATACCAAGTCTTAAGCTTGCCTTTGGACTGAGGAGAATGGGAGTCATTCCTCTACTTCTGGGCAGTAATCTTCCCACCAGCTGACCAGCATTTAGTGATGCTGGTGGCCTTGAATTTCAACTGAAACGTGTACGTTTGTAATTCTGATCCAGTTACACATTTGTAAAAAATGTGCTGAGATATAGATAAGGTGGTTTTAAAACGTTTGTGGGACAAATCGTGGAACTGAAGGACAGTGGGATTTTTCCATAGTTTTTTTTTTAAGCCCTGTAGTATACCAAACATTTACTACTTCATCCATTTTTAAATCTACAATTTGGTGACACTAATTGCAGCTACCATATTGGGCGACTGTCACCGTTACCAGTGCTCCTTAATACATAACTCCTTGTTTCCACCTCCCTTCTGCCCTTGGGGGCGCAAACCCAACACCCTTGGGTCTCATGCATTTTTGAGGACCAGCACAATGGCTGTCTTCCGCAATGGCTGACCCATTTTTCAATCCCACCAGCAACTGGTCTCCGCATCCTCACCCACCCTTGTTATTTTCCTTGGTCCCCCACCTTGCTAATGGCCTTCCCCGTGGGGGGTGGGTGAGTGGCTATCACGCGGTTTGGCTTTACATTTCCCCAGCGATGGTTCACATTGAGCATCGTTGTCCATTTGTCTATCTTCTTTGCTGAAGTGTCTGGCCCACCTTTTCTATGGAGTCGTTTGTTTATTGTGGTTCAGTTTAGAGATCCTTTACAGATTCTGGTCAGTACACCTCAATCCGTACCAGGCACAGGCTTCCAGGTTGTGAGCTGTCCCCTCACTCGGTTGGGAAAGCCCCTTGACATGCCAGAGCTTCGACTTGTGGAGAGGTTGGCAGCTTAGACATTTGTTACAGCCTGGCCGACAGATGTTGCCAGGTGCTTTCTGCTGCGTGTGTGCATGGTGCTGCTCCAGGTGACACCTGTCTCTGCTTGTCCAGCTTTCTGAAGGACGCTTCCATAGGCGTCTGATTGCACGGCTTCAAGCAGATTTGGAAACTGTCGAGTGGGGGCAGCAAGGTGTCCTTGGGGAGATTGCTTTTTGTTCAAAGAGTCCAGTGTGAGAGCCAGGAGCAAACAGCGGTGGCACGGACTGACACTCTTTCTGTTTCCTCTCTGGCAGTGCGTTACAAGAGTTTGAGCAGGTGCCCAGACACCTGACTGATGAGCTCCACCTGTTTTCCCTGGACGACCTGGTCAGGGTCAAGAGAGGGCTGCTGGCGCCCCTACTGAAGGACCTTCTGAGAGTGTCCCTCATGCATGTGGCCGGCTGTGAGGTAAGGGCTTGTGGAGGGCTGGTGGGTGTACCCTTGTAGGCCAGGGCAGGACTGGGGTGTCCTACACATTGCCCCCTTTAGCCCTCACCAATGCTCTCAGAAGTGCTGGCACCCTCTGTTACAGAGGAGAGACCGGAGGCTCACAGCCATGCATCATGCTGGCGTGGAGATGCCAGCCTACGTCAGCGGGGTGTCCGGTCTGCTGGGGACGCTGCTGCTCTGCCTCCTGCTGCTGAACTCCGCTCTGTGGGCTCAGGATTAGCAGAACCGGAGCGAGTGGGGCTCCACAGAGTGGAGAATTGTAGTATAGGGGGAAAATGGAGGAAAAAATATCCTTTAAGAATATGCATTTAGAGTCTGATGCAAAAGGAGAAATACTGTATATGACCCCATTTCTCTGAACATTCTAGAACAGGCAGGTGCATGGAGACCCAAGTTTCTTAGTGTTTACCAGGGCGGGGTTGGGGTGTGGAGAGAGTTGAGTGGGGAGCTATTGAAGAAACATCGAAGTTCCATTTTGAAAATATCTAAAGATGGACTGAGGTGCTGCTGGGTACCCAGCAGGGGGACCATCACTAATGCCACGGAATCATGCAGCCCCCAACGGTCAAAATGGCCAATGTACGTAGTTAATCATACTTAGAAAAAGTGACCACACTCAAAATCCCGATCTTCTTCTGGCACCGCGGTCTGCCTTGATGTGAACGTTCTCTGGGCAGAAGCCAGGAGACACGATGCGTGCCGTGCTGCAGGAGATGGGAGTCAGAGGCGTTCACAAAGCAGGGCTGAGGGCGCGCTCGAACGTGGTAGCCCAGCGTCTGCCACGAAAGCGGAGGTCAACACCATTCCTGGGAGGGTTTCACCTGCTGATCCTTTCGTTCCCAGCTCTGCCAAGGAAGAGGCTTCATTTGTGAATTTTGCCGGAGCGCGGCTGTCATCTTCCCCTTTCAAACCGAAACCTGTCGAAGATGCTCAGGTATCTGGATGCAAAGGTGTTTTCCCCATTTAATGAGGCAGGTGTAGTTCGTGCGTGGGTGTTTTGGTTCACTCCTGCATACACGTGCACACACAAGTGCCAAGCCTGTGCCTGTCAATTCCAACTCATGGTGACCTTGTGTGTAAACGTGCAGAACTGCGCCATAGGGTTCCCTCATGTAATCTTTTTTTATATATATATATATATTTTTTACTTGCAAGGACTGCTTTCCTTTGGGGGCAATGGTCCTTACACAGAGAGCAAAAGTGTAGGAAATAACTGGAAGATAAACAAGAAATGTTCAAGAAATAGAAAAAAGTAAACAGCCGTGGAATAAGGACACAGTAACTAAAAGGAAATTTGAAAGAAAAAATTCATGACTGACTTTAGACAATATAGAGTCCCCCGAGGGGGTGCACCGTTCCTGGAAGTACAGTGAACCCTCGTTTATCGCGGTTCATCGGTTCTAGACCCTAC